TGTCAGAGAGCTCCACTTCCTCCAGCTGCAGGACACTGGATTTGCCCGTGGTGTTCAGGTGCGTGGTGATCCGGCCGCTGTGCTTGGGGCCACTCCCTGCTTGATAGGAGAGCAGCTGCGGGGCTTGGCCTTTGTGCAGCTGGTACCAGAACAATCCCCCAAAATTAGTGCACGGGTATTTGCAGGTGGTGTGGAAGGAGTGTCCCTGCTTCACCGTGACTGGTCCATCATCCTGGGTGACCGTGTCCTGCCCCGTGGCGCCTGGAAGAAAGTGATGGTGAGATGCTGCTAAGGGAAGGACTCCAGGTACAAAAAACATATTAGGTCCAAAAGCAGTCTGCAACTAGAGATGTGCAGATGTACAGGTGACAGCGATTTTGGGCAGGATTTCAAAGCTGTCAGCACGACAAACCCTGACAAGGTCTCCTCTATGTTCCTGCTCCTACATCTGCTTCTTAGACGACCCGGGAACAGCCTAAATTTTGTGCACTCCAGCAGGCTGAGGAACGCATGGAGGTACAGGAAAATAATTAATCCTGCTGCCCCAACCTTGTCACTCATCCCTATCATCACTGAGTGTTCCTCAATCCATGAGTACACACAACGCTGATCTTTGAAAGAGGGAGCCATGGTTGTGCTGGCAGCCCAGAGAACTCTGGAAGCCTTGGCAGAGCTGTGTCAGCCTGGAGGCAGAATGGCACGCCCTTATAATGACAGTGAAATGGGAACTTTAAGATGCCTGGGACAGATTTGACGGGATCTGGAAATTTACATTAAAATAGCAGCAATATCTGACTACAGAGATAGCTGAGATCTCCTGAGTTGGTTGAAAATGATCAGACGAGAGAGGTAGAGGGAGATGAATTGAAGGTGAGAGAAAAAACAGATAAGTAGTCCGAGATTTTTCTGCTTTCCCTTCCATTTTCCCTTACAAATCAAAGAACTTCTTTAGCAAGCACTTGCAAAACCACAAAGAGAAGCTGATTTTTCTCAGCCTTTCCCATCTAATCACTGATATTTCCCTACAAGGTCCTGATAAGGCTGTTGAGCATTTCCCGCGGGTAAGAAGAAGAGGAAGAGAAGAAGGGTGCCTTGGGGAAAAGGCAGGACTTACCCAGGAGCCGGGCCAGCAAGACGCTGAGGATGAGAGATGCGAGGTGCATGCCGAGAGCGAGCTGCGTGTTTGCTGAGTGAGGAAGAGTCCGAAAGCACGCGGCAGCGCCGAGAGAACGGAGCTGCCGGGAGCGGCTCTGGGCGGGAGCAAAGGCAGCAGCGGCGGGAGCAGGCAGAGCAATGCCCTGGCCTTGCAGCGCCTGAAATGCTCCTTGTGCGTTTGTCTCTGGTCCAGCAGCAGCCGCCGAGGCTCCCTCAGCCGTCGGCACCGGGAGCATTCCGTGCCTCTGGGGCCTCGCTCATGGCAAGGGGCTGTTCCCGCTCAGCTCGCAGTGGAGTCCTCACCTCCGCAGCTGGAACGGCCAGCTCTGCTGCACAGCCAGACCTGGGCATTTGGCAGCTCAGGGGCTTCTTCCCCACTGGGCTTTCTCACCTTCCCGAGGTGTCTTCAGCTCTGTGAGGTCACTGCTCTTTCCTCTGGGAACAGGAGACTTCTCTCTTTGTCACTTGTCCCCTGCACTTCTTCATCTGCCTGGGATGAACGCCTCTTTCCACGGTCCCTCATTCCCACCCCTTTTACCAGTCAACTCCAGAATTATCCCACAGTCGTCAATTTGGTTTTATCTTAAATCGAGATTTTTCACAAAAAAAAAAATCAAAACCCAATAAACAAAAGAAAAAAAAAAAACAAAACAAACAAACAAAAAAACCCCCAAAAACCACAAAAAAACCCACCCAACATTCTGGAAAGATGTGAACGATGATGTAGGTAATGATAATGGTTTAATAGGGATAATCTCACGCAAGTGTTGCACTTCCCCATGGATGAGAACGAGATATCTAGAGAAGTGGGAGGTCCTGTGGTTCTCACAGATTTTCAAAGTAAAAGCATTACATTCTATGGACACCTTTGCTCGTTGTGCCTTCTTACGCTTCAGAGCAAAGATGATCAGACATGTACAGGGAGATGAGGATTCTTCCCAGCACTTGTGCTGAGAATAGAATCCTGCAGCCATCCTTGTTGATCCCAGAGACACATCACTGGAAGTCTCTCCTTTCCTGAGGATTCCATGTCCTCTCTCATCATCCCTTTACCATTTGTCACTGACAAAGCTCAGCCTGAGCCAATTCACAGCCACAGCCATTGTTCCCTAATGGCCAATCAATTAGAGGGTGATGAGCTCCGAGCTCCCTCTTTCCCTCCCTTATCACCTTGTGCCACATAGGTGTGTTTTGTTCATTACTTTCACTTTTCCTTCCCTTGGAAAGGAAAATGGGCATGATGTGATCCTCGGAGAACAAGACACTCATATTTCACATGCCCTGACTGTGGCCTCTGCTGAACTTTCTCAGCCCAGGGAGCTCCTGATGATGCTGAAAGCTTCCTGTCCTCAAAAGCAAAAGGGGTCTCTAGAGCAAGACTCGGGAGAGAAACCTCATGTGGAGCTCAGTGTTTCATACATCTCCCTCCAGTACTTGCAGGTTTGCTAAATCCTGGCATCTGCTTTTCGGGATACCTGAGAGATTACTAACGTGAAGGGAAAGGGACAAATCTGTTTTGTGTGGACCATGGCTATGACAGTGTCGTCAGCTGGTTTGAGATGCTCCTCTTCTCCAACCAATTTATTGTTTTCACTCCAGGATGTTCTGCCATTTAAGGAAGAGGCTGACTGCACATCTATTATTGTTTGGGGGAAACTGAGGATGAGAAAAAGAAATGCAGAGACGTGATTGCCAGGCTCAGGTGGGATTGAAAGGACATCTGATTTACACACCCGGGTGAGAATGCTGCTTTTATTCACCTGGCCATATGGAGAAGAGACACTTCTGCAGCGACACAGATGGAGATTCCTTTGTGACCTCGGTAAGCCTGACTGCAAACCCGTTTTATGTCATGACCTACTGAGGCGACAGCACTCCATGAATTAGTTCCTGTGTGCCTGTCAGTGCAGCTGCTCGGTCAGTTCGCAGCCCAGGAGCTCTCCAGGAGCAGCTCTTTGCTTTGCAGAGCCGGCTGAGAGCAGCAGCAGCAGCAGGCGTGGCCGGAGGGCGAGAGGCGCTGGCAGAGGCGCCTTTGGGCGCAGCAGTTGGGTGCGAGGTGGCGGCGGGCTCGGGAGCGAAGGGAGGCCGGGCTGTGCGCGGCGAGCGTGCGAGCGCACGGTGCGGGCGGGTTGTGAGGCCGTGCGGGGCCGTGCGGGGTCGGTGCGGGGCCGTGCGGGGCCGTGCGGGGCCGTGCGGGGCCGTGCGGGGCCGGTGCGGGCGGGCTCGGGGCAGAGGAAGGAGCTGCGGGGCCGCGCGGGGCCCGGCGGCCGGAGCGGCAGCGCCCCCTGCTGGCCCCGCCCGGCCCCGCCCGCGCCGGTTCGTGCCCGGCCGCAGCCCCGGCTCCTCTGCCCGTGGCCCAGCGCGCAGTAATACACGGCCGCGTCCCCGCGCCGGGGCCAGCCGAGCCGCAGCGCGCTCCAGCGCCGGTCTTCCGACACCCGCAGCTCTCCCGCTATGGCCGGCACCTCCTTGGAGCCTCTAGCAGCGAGGGTGAGGAATTCGGGTGCTCGGCCCGGGAGCTGACGGTAGAAATGGATGTATTCGCCGATCAGTTTTTTGGGGTGTGAGCAGGTGATGTTGATGCTGTTGCCCTCGGTGGTCTCCAGAAGTGGCTCCTGCTCCACCTGGGCTCTGCTTGAAGCCACTGCCGGGAACATAAAAAGGAAAACACTCAAATCTTGAATTGTCTTACCTTACAGAGCAAATCCCGCAGAAACAGCCAGGAACATACTGAGACGATGAGCAAAACGTTACGGATGGGACTTAATGATAGGCAGGAATGGAATTCTCCATGAATGCTTTGTGGAGAGATGAATACATGAATGAAAGGAAGAACGGTGCAGTCACCAGAGTAGGGAAACGTGGGAGAAAACACTAAAAGAAAAGAAGAAAAGTTCGAAGGGCTAAGGAGAGACGCTATATAACAGAAGTAAAAGAATGGAATGCTCGAGCAGGGCTGGATAAAGAATCTAATGAGATTTCTAAGGGACTATGGGATGGAGAAGAGGGAGGGGAGAACGGGAGAACAGCTCTCTGGCAGTGGTCTACGAAAAAGCCAGGCACGAGGGCAGCCTGCGCATCACCCCAGTCTCAAACCCGGCCTCTCCCCACCCCCGCGCACCGAGCAGCAGCAGCGCGGGCAGCGCCGCCAGCCCCGCGCCCCGACACCGCCGCATGCCGCCGCTCCGCCGGCCGAGCCTCGCTGTGCCCCTCAGCCCCGGCTCTGCTGCGGCCGTGCCGCCTCCTCTGCAACGCCGCCAGCTCCGCCCCGGCCCAGAGCCCTGCGCCGCCGCTGCTCGGGCTCTCGCCGGCTCCGGCCAGGGAACGGAGGGGAGGCGAGCGCGGTGCCAGCGGGGCGGCGCTCGGGGCTCTGCGCGGCGGAAGCGGCGGCGCCGGGCTGGGGGCAGGGATCGGGCTGGTATCGTGGAGCTGAGCGTTGACAGGCCCTGGGGTTCCTTCGCTCCCATCATCTGTTCACTCACATCTCCCCTCTGCTGTCATGGTGGGGGCTCCCGAATTGTCCTTCAGGGCACGGGAAAGAAACCCACTCCCACGGATACAGGAGCTGGGCATAAAGACTCAGCAATTCTCTGTATCCATAAAACCAAACTGATGCAGGACAGGGAAGAGCAGCTGTGCACTGGACTGGAGAGACCTCTCCATTTTTCTATGTGTCTGTATGTGTGTGAGCACTCGCAGCAATGCTGAGGCACTCCCAACACTTTAAATTCAGTTAAGCTAAAAAGTCAAATCTGGGTGAAACCCTCCTTGTTGGGGCTGGCAATTGGCAGGAGCAAAACGTGATGTTCAGACCTGCTGGGAAAGGA